CCAATCAAGATTGATGATCTTGAGATTAGATACAGTACCAAGCATAGAGCATTGACCGTTCACACAATTTCTTGCTGTTTGCTGCCTCAAGATCGCTGGAGCGAAGTGAGAATGAATAGCATGAGTCCCTATGCAGTGAAGGATTAATTCTTTTCATCCAGATAATGTTTTTTCATCCAGATAAATATGTTCACCTTACTTGAGCAGAGGTGCGTTTCAAACTCAATTTGGTGTTCTTTTTCAGGAAGCTATTTTAACGAATGGTAGCACTGGCCCTGGAGGCTGTCTTTGTTGTTGAAACTGTAATAATTCTCCTTAGGTCAGACATAGAACAAGCCTCATTTTCTTCAATATACAAGTGTCATCACTGTAAAATTAGGGAGTAGATTGTCTAAGTCTGAAACAAAATAGAATAATGTTCGAGTCGGGCCCGGCTTTCCAGCGATCAATTGTACATTGTTCTACTTTAGTTGCAGTATACGATCGACCATAAGATTTCTCAGGCATGTTTCGTCCATTATAACTTTCATAGAAATCACAACTGGACCATCAAGGTAAACGGTTTACAACCCTGAAGTAGAGCATTGTCATTGAACCCAAACGCTATTAAAGCATGAAAAGATTTTCTGGTTGAAGAAATCTTTTCTATTTCAAATCATGGCAATGGCATTCAAGAGAATTTGTGTTAGCCAACATAAGGATCTGTAAACAATAAATAGATTTGGGGGATAAGAATCCAGGGGAGTGTTTCACAAAGACTAAGATCGACTTTAAGTTGGACTTAACTGTGGCAGGCCATTCATGCCACTGTTTTCTCTCACCATACTGGCATTGGTATCTCAAGGGACATACAAATCATGGTCAAAAATCTACAGAATTTACACTTTTTAATAGTTCATTATTGAAGGAAAAATATTATCTAAAGATAATAATGGTGAGAGAAACCTGGTGGGTGTTTCACAAAGATCCTAAGTTGAACTAATCTCTAAGTTGGACTTAAAATTTATGGAAAGCTGTTAACATCTATGAAAATATTTTGTAAAAGTTATTTAAAGCGGCATAAAATGTTGATACAAATCATTACTATTTTCTAGTTTCTACTATCAAAGAAATTTCTTGTTCTTGATGTGGAATTCATAAAAAGTCATAAAAAATCATAAAGTACTCGAATTGTTGCCTTTAAAATATATTTTATTTTAAGGCTGCAAATGGCTCTCCATAATTCCACAAGTCCAACTTAACTTTAGTTTGACTTAGGATCTCTGTGAAACACCCGCCAACAGTTTTGTTTGATGATGTGAAAATTAACTCACACACAACTGAGCAGCTGGTATTTTCAGCAGGATCAGAGGAATACAAAGGACTATTACTTGTTCATTTTGAGTAGTCCTTTCAATGATATTTTTAATAATTTGTTTTGTTTGCAAAAATATGTTGAGGATTTGTAAACAGAAAACACTTTGAACTTTGGGGTCAATTCTTGTACTGTGATTATTAACTTAAATTCATGAACAAGGAACACTTAAAATCTGTGTGTAGAGAGAGAGAGAAAGAGAAAGAGAGAATGATGGGGGACTTATTTCACTAGTTTGAGTTTCCCCCTTCAAAATAATTGTTGATAGCATTGACATACCAGTATTTTCTCCTTTTCTGTCTTGTTTTGGCCAAAAAAAAGGGTGTAGTTATAAGTCCAATCTATGTACTGACATAGTCTGACTGAACTTTTTCATAATACATATAAGTCCGCAGAAATCCATGATATACACCCACTTATATGTACCAGTAGTACCTCATAGTCAGAATTGTAATATTACTTCTGCATGCATGGAATAGAAGTTATTGTGCATTTAACCTGTTTTAATTGATGACCTCATTTTGATGATGGAGACAGCATTGTGAAGTAGGGCGTGTTGGTGTGACTGTTTAATGACAAATATTATTGAATACTTGGAGTGGTCCCTGTGCATACATAATACAGGTTGGAAGCCTCTATGTGTAATGTGAATGGCGGTGCAATGAGAATGAACATATGGTTTAGAACCGAGCTCATGTAGAGTGTATTGTAGAGGGAGGGCACTCGGGGAACACTTGGGGAAAATAGAATAGAATGGGTTAGGATTTAAGGATTATATTAAAACCAAAGGGGAGAATGATAAGAGAGAGAGTAAGGAGAGAGGGATGAGGTGGGGAGGAAGGATACATGGGGTAGGGAAGGAAGGAGGGAGGGAGAAAGAAAGAAAGAAGAGAGAAAGATGGCGGAGGGGAGGGATATTACAGGAGAAAAGAAAGTAAGAGAGACACAGAAAATGGTACATGCGGAAGAGTTGGGGCATTGTGTGTATGTATGTGTGTGTGAGAGAGAGGGAGAGCACAAACTATCAAACTGCCATGACAGGCACATTTTGACGGACAGATATAGATTTCATTTTCAGTATTATGGGAGCTATAATTATATTCTCAAACAATACCGTTACTCAAGTAGAAGATGCACGTAATCTCATTCAATCTGTCAATTGTAATATCCCAGTCAGGCCCCTAAGAAATATGGATGACATGTATTGACACATTCTTCTTGTTAGATGATGAATATCACATATATATTATTCATTAATGATCAATCTTTGAGAGAAATGTGGAGGGGAGGAGAGAATGGGAGATCAGAGAGAAAAGGAGATGGGAAAGGGGAGGGAGAAATAATCATTGGAAAAAGTGGAGCTACAGAAGTTGATTGCAAAAGATAGAACAATAAACAGAAAGAAAGACAATCTCAAAAATGTAGAAGGGATTAAACAAACAAAGAGAGAGAGAGGGGGGGGGGGTAGAATATAAGAGGATAACATCAGACATGGAAAAAGCTTACTGGTAGGAAGGGTTGGAGAGTTCAAGAGAGTAAGATTATGTTTACCATGGAGAGAAACATAAATTGAAATACATTAAATGGGTCTATTCGTTGTTAATATTATTATCACATAATCATCCTTTTCATCATTATTATCTACTATATTAACATGATTTTTAAATCAGCATTATTACTACATGTATCATTATCCTCATCATTTCCTAGTCATAAATGTCATCTCTACTATTTCCTTATGATCATCGTGATGATCATCCTTATCACCATCAATGTATACTGCAACATCAATTCGTCCCATATAATATATGAATCTATTCTCCTTCAGAGATGTTTATAGTCTTCCAGTTATTCAGATTAAAAGGCAGACCACTCCATTCATCTTCCTGTGACAAATTCATCTTGTTGAAATTCATTTTATATTCATTTATCAGTATCCTGATGTAACATCATTTTAGAGAATGAGATAAATATCTCCCTTTTCAGCTTCTCGTCATACCGCTCCTCAAATATGACCTTTAAGGAAGATGACCTTTTCAGAAAATCTTGTATGCCTGCAGTGTCGAAACGCTCTATTGCCCATGAGGATCTAATGTTGCCATCAAATTGGCAATGGCTCAGCTAAAAGAGAGTCAGAACCATACATTTATTTGAAACACATTATACATGTATGTAGACCAGCCAAGGTGGTTTCATACAATGGAGGTTAATTTGCCAACATCATTGTTGGCCTTAAGGCTAAAGATACGAGATGGATGTTCTCATATTACATTGAGGTGCCTACATATGATTGGGTGTGTGGTGCCATATGGAAAATATGATGAGGGTGTGTCAATTTGTGTGTTTGCATAATATACAGACTTATTTAAAGGTGAATTAGGGCATTGTTTTATTGTGCTCAGACTATATTGTATGTAGTCATTTTGATTCCAAGTGATGTTTTTTCCCCCCCTCAAATAAATGGAAATCATTTAACAATGTTTTTCATTTTATAATGCCTTAAAAAAAGAACATCACATTTGTTCAATGTGTGCCACTTAATGGCACATGTGCAGTTGTGCAAGTACATTTAAAAAAATTATTATACAAATTCAGACAAAACATTGCATGATGCAGATCCTGTCTAAAATCTTTTTTCAAAAGATGAATACGAGTTTGGAGGGAGGTGATGCAAATGACTTTGTGAATGCTGTAATGTTAACCTTTTTATTTATATTGAACAATCAATGAATAGCTTGTGAAATATTACACTTGATTTTGCAAATATTTTCTAGACATGAAAGTTTCTGCTTTGACATCTGCCAAGCCTAAACTGTCAAGAATCTGCCATGAACATAGTTCAGAAGAGCACCATTATATCTTTAACTGAATTGTATAAAACTTTTTTTCCTCACCAATTTATGAAACTTGTTCCAGGATCACTTGATTGGCAGTCACCTTCTAACAGTTACTCAATTCTTAACTTCTTCAGCCTGATGTCGATGATCTTTAAACAAAAAAACCCCACAAACTACAACATAAGATCAGACACATTTTTCTGTGACAATGAATGCAAAGTCTGCCACAAATCGTGGCAAGAATTAATATTGGATCAGCGTTTAACTTGGCTCTCTTTATTTCTCTTGACACCTTCAGATCCAGCCTGATGTCGATGATCTTTGAACAAAAAAAATCCCACAAACTACAACATAAGATCAGACACATTTTTCTGTGACAATGAATGCAAAGTCTGCAACAAATCGTGGCAAGAATTAATATTGGATCAGCGTTTAACTTGGCTCTCTTTTTTTCTTTTGACACCCTCAGATCCAGCCTGATGTCGATGATCTTTGAACAAAAAAATCCCAAAAACTACAACATAAGATCAGACACATTTTTCTGTGACAATGAATGCAAAGTCTGCAACAAATCGTGGCAAGAATTAATATTGGATCAGCGTTTAACTTGGCTCTCTTTTTTTCTTTTGACACCCTCAGATCCAGCCTGATGTCGATGATCTTTGAACAAAAAAATCCCAAAAACTACAACATAAGATCAGACACATTTTTCTGTGACAATGAATGCAAAGTCTGCAACGAATCGTGGCAAGAATTAATATTGGATCAGCGTTTAACTTGGCTCTCTTTATTTCTTTTGACACCTTCAGATCCAGCCTGATGTCGATGATCTAGATAACGGAGGGGACGAAGAAGGCGATACCGACTCCGTTAAGTCTGAGATCAAGCTCGGAAAGCTACAGTTCTCGCTGGATTATGACTTCCAAGAAGGAAAGGTGAGTTGTGTTGGTTTTAAAAGCATCGTTTAACAAATATGTTAAATCTGAGATGCACGGCCCTCCTTGTTATCAGTGTCTGTGATACCGTGTCATATTGAAGCCCTAACAAAAAATTGCGCTTCAAAAGGATCAAGAAGTGCCTCAAAAAAAGTTAAAACCTTTGAGTGGCCGGTTTTACCATACTCGTTTTCCCCATTTGTTATGAAAACCGTTTGGCAAACGCAAAATTTGATTTTGATTTTCAATCATAAATATCTTGATAATCATACAGGCGATCGGCTTGTAAAAGTCATGGGTTTCCTGAATGACCTAAAGGTTTATAATTATCATTGCAGCATGTGCTAAATTAAGGATTTTTTTAATGGCTCTAAGACCAAGTTACTGGATCCCTTTAATAAAGAGAAGGTTGAGTTCTGGGAAGAGGTGAAACAAAATTTGTGAGCGTTATCATATCACAAACATGTGGCATACAAATCCGACCTCATTTTTAAGCTGTTACTTGTCATATTTAGAATATGAAGGCATTTGAAGAGCCATGCTTTTCAGGGATCATTCTTTCTGATGTTCTCCCACATTTGCATAATAATGATGAAAACGCTCACAAATTATTTTTCACCTCTGTTCCTCCACACTTGCATAGTAAATAACAATGAAAACGCTCACAAATTATTTTTCACCTCTGTTCCTCCACACTTGCATAGTAAATAACAATGAAAACGCTCACAAATTATTTTTCACCTGTCCCCAGAACTTAACCTTCTCTTTATTACATGTATAAAGATAACTTCTAGAAATATACTGTTCAGTTCAGTTCATTTATTCAATTCATTTCTAAAATGTACAGACAGTTGTACGTGACAAAAAACATACATATTTACAAGTCATGAAATAAAAAGCAATAAATATTATAAGTAGGCCTATTACATTGTAAGAAAATGAATTATGAGAACTTTAAAATAAAGCCAGATTGGCCTTGTGAAAAAAAAAGTCCCCATTTGCTAGAGAGTGATTTGGAGGCTTCATAATAATAGTTTCAAATTTGTACAACAAAGGGAAAAGAAACAAGCAATGGATATGAATATATACATGCATAGAATATGAAATACAAAATACCTACATGTAGATGCCAACAGATATAAAGTGCATCCAAGTAATTACCCGATCCCCCCCCCCCCCCCAAAAAAAAAAAAAAAACTGTTTCGATGAAAATCACAGAAAATTAAGAATCAAATTTAAAATATAATCATAATTTGGAAGCACATTGAGAGGTGATATCATCACATGATAACTAAGTACTATAAATGTAGGGATTATTATCATTATCATTATTAAACATTAAGTTTATACCATTCTTCCTCATTCTTTTCACATCATTCACATGATGTGTATTGTTTTGTATTTATTAAACTGCATTGATGTACATCAATATTCTGTTTATAAACATATAAATCAATTTACAATGCAACGTAACATATCAATATTCTGTTTGGAAACATATATATCATATAAATCAATCTACAATGTAATGTAACAAATCAGTATTCTGTTTGGAAACATATATACTGTATAAACCAATTGGCAATGCAGTGTTTATAGCAAAACAGAAGGAAAATTATATCCAGCAGAAACACTCTTATTTCCTTTTTGTAATGACGTGACATATATATAATGCATATTGCATAAAGTAAATAATATGTACCATAATACATCCAAAGATTTAGATATATAAAACCTAATACAGTAATTTTCTAAATAAATTATAACTCATGCTATACTATTCTTTCCTTGTTAGCTCAATGTTGGTGTCATGCAAGCACCAGAGCTACCAGGAAGATCATGGCCCTATGTCAAGGTTTACCTCATGCCAGACAATATTATGCCAGACAATATTATTGACTATTTTCTCATTATGTGTATAATATTCTTTCCTCACTAGCTCAATGTTGGTGTCATACAAGCATCGGAGCTACCTGGGACATCATGACCCTATGTCAAGGTTTACCTCATGCCCGACAAAATTTGTATTGATGCTAAATATATTTCTCGTTATCAAAAATTATGTTTATACTTCTCTTTTCTCATTCTTTCCACATCTTTTACATTATGTGTTTAAATATTCTTTCCTCATTAGCTCAATGTTGGTGTCATGCAAGCATCGGAGCTACCAGGGATGGACTTCTCAGGGACATCGGATCCCTACGTCAAGGTTTACCTCATGCCAGACAAGAAGAAGAAGTACGAAACCAAAGTCCACAGAAAGACCCTCAACCCAGTCTTCAATGAGACCTTCACATTCAAGGTAGGTGAAATACTAACACGATGAATATGAAGGACAAAGAAAGAGGACAAAATATACAGTTCCTCATTCTACCTCAACAATTGCTGTGGTAGACAAAGGAAAATCCCTTCACTGCTATTATGTAAAAATAAGTAGAACAGGTGAATATGCATGTGACACCTGTTCTACACATTTTTACATAATAGCATTGAAGGGATGTTCCTCTGTCTACCACAGCAATTGTTGATGCTAGAATGAGGAACTGTTAATTTTGTCCTCTTTCTTTGTCCGTCATGTTCATAGTGTAAGTACTGTAACTTCAGGAGCTGACGATTCATGAAATTAATGAGTCGTTGAAATTTGTAAAAGTTTCATGCTGCCAAAATAATCAAATCACATTGATCACAATACAAAATGGCCATTAAACTGAAAGCTCATCTTGACTGTTGACAACACCTGTTATTGGGTAAACACCCAAATGGTGTCAAACTTCCCATGAGAATCCACTAATTAATATGTGTCTTTAAATTCTTGTCCTATACAGGTGCCATACAGTGAAGTGTCGAGTAAGACGCTGGTGTTCGCCATTTACGATTTTGACCGATTCTCCCGCCATGACATCATAGGGGAGGTCAAGGTCAAACTAAGCCAGGTTGACCTGGGCAGTGTCGTTGAAGAGTGGCGCGACCTCCAGAGCGCTGAGGTACCAGGAGGAGAGGTATGCACTATTAAAATTCATTTGTAAATTATATCCTATACAGTGCGTCCCAGAAAAACCAAAAACGAAAATTATCGATGTTTTATCATAATTCAATCTCGATTATTATTAATTAATGACACAGATTTGTAAAGGTTAGATCCTTCTCTTTCATTTGATGCACCTCAAATGATACATATTTCACACATGCATGATTAAAATCAATTTGAAGAGAGGGTACCGAAGAGTCATTTGGCGTATGGTATCTGAATTTCAAAGAGAAAACCTCATTTCTAGAAAGTTCATTTTCTGCCCTTTCTTATGACACCTCAATCAGGAAAAATGAGTGAGGATTAATAACCTTTCTTCAAATTGATTTTAATCACTCATGCGTGAAATATGTATCATATGAGATGCATCAAATGAAAGAGGAGGATCTTAGCTTTACAAATATGTGTTATTTATTAATTATCATTGTGATTAAGTTATAATAAAACATTGATAATTTTCGGTTTCATTTTTTCTGGGACACACTGTATGAGCTGCTATTTTTATGAGAGTTTTACTTTTGCACAAACACGGGACATATGTTAGGTAACAACATGCAAAAGATAGCTGGCATCTCATGTACAGCCATGTCTTGTAAGGAGCGTTTTTTTTTAAAGCATATTATAAATATCACAAAAACAACAACTCTTGAAAATCTGTGTGTCCCTGCCATCCATGAAAATATCTTTTGGCTTTTAATTTCATCTTCAAAATGTATAGTTTTACCTAGTTAGTTTGTTCTAGACTTTTATTTTTTTTTAAAGAAGGGAAAAAAATCAACCCGAAAACATCAAGGAAAACAAAGAGAAGCATGAAACCATTTTTTAGAATGATTTTCTAAACTGTTAACATTGCACTTTTTGCTATATAAAAATTGGGTGTAATCAACAGATGGAAAAAATTATAATAAACAGCAGACTACATGATACGGAAAACTTTCATCAGTTGGGGATAATGATAACATGTAGTTTTTAGCTTCTACCAACCTTAAATTTGTTATGCAAGCTTTCGTCCACTCCTGTGGACTTTCTCAAGCTAAGTGATCAGTCTGAGTCACATGTTTGCTTCGCTGCAGTGCCTGGTGTCCTGTGATCACTGGACCAAAGATCGGTGACAATAGGTACCCAGAGTCCCTGTTTTGTGATGACTTAATTCTCTTAATCCATATGGACTCTTTCACCTTTCTTGCCCAGAAGTTACTTTCAAAGTCTATTATGAGGACATCCTCCCATCCTATGTTATGTCCTGTGTTGAGGGCGTGTTCAGCTAATGCTGAATGGGATGGGTTGCTCAATCTGAGGGCTCTTTTGTGTTCTTTTAGACGCTCATTAAGAGTTCTGCCAGTTTTCCCCAACTTATGAATTGTCACAGTCTGTGCACGTGATCTTGTACACAATACCTGTCTTTTCCTCTCTTGGGATTTTGTCTTTTGCGTGGACCAACCTACTTCTTAGTGTGTTAGGGCTTTTGAAGGCGACACTGATGTCCTCGTCTTGGAAGCAGACTACATGTAACACTCTGTATTGAAATTGATCATTTATTTTTGCTATGAATTGCAATGCCCAGTTGGTGAGTGGATTATGCATGGTAGCTTACATGTTGTATTACTTAGTAGAATCAGAATAATGATTTTAAAGGTATAGACCAGTTTTGGAAACGCCCCCCCCCCCCCCCCCCCCCCCCCCTCTCAAAAAAATGAAATGGAAGCTCTTATTAATGTACCAATAATGTGAAAAAATATGTCTTGACTAATACGTGATGATACAAAGTTTGCCGGGAAACTGCCTACTAATTGATATATTTGGTAAATTATTATATCTATCCGGACTGGATACATTTGTATAGCATTCGGGATGTTTATCTGTATATTTTTGATGTCATAGCTGAGAGTATTTGTTCCTTTTGTTTACAGGGCAAGTCAGAGCTGGGAGACATTTGTTTCTCCTTGCGTTACGTCCCCACTGCAGGCAAGCTGACTGTGGTCATCTTAGAGGCCAAGAACCTCAAGAAAATGGACGTCGGTGGACTATCAGGTTAGTTGACAGAGAGAGAGAGAGAAAGACAGAGAGAGAGAGAGAAGGGGAGAGAGAGAGAGAGGCAAGCTGACTGGTCATCTTAGAGGCCAAGAACCTCAAAAAAATGGACATCGGTGGACTATCAGGTTGGTTCAGAGAGAGAGAAAGACAGAAAGAGAGACAGACGGACAGACAGACAGGCAGAGAGAGAGAGAGAGAGAGAGGAAGACAGAAAAAGGCAGGGAAAAAGAGAGATAGGAGAGAGAGAAAGAGAGGGAGATATATACTTGTATAAATATATAGAGAGAGAGAGAGAGAGAGGGAGAGAGAAAGAGAGGGTGAGAGAGGGGGGGGGGCGAGAGAGAGAGAGGAGTACTGTAAATGTAATAAAGGGAGCTAGAGAAAGAGTTTTTGATTGTTAGTGAGAGATAGAGAGAGATTTATGAAGGGGGGAAAGTGAGACACAGTGAGACAGATACATGGGGCAGGGGCTGTGAGGTAGACAGACCCATGTACAGAGAATGAGAGAAGGAAAGAAAGAATGAGAGAGAGAGAGCAAGCAAAGGGAAATACAGACAGACAGTGATTGAGACTCGGTACATAATTTACCAAGATGATATCGATTCCTTCAATCTGTCTAAACATCTCGGTAGACGGGGGATTCCAGTCGGAGAACAATTTATTGTATACCCTCTTATCGATTGCCATTAATCAAGTTAATTGCATTAATGCTGCTCGTATGAAAGAGTACTATCGCTTTACATCCCACTCTGCTATCAGCAGGCTTCTAGTGCCTTGGAATAATGTCTGGGTTTCGTTGGTGGCGAGATTAATACTCCACAAGATGGGGATACGGTTATGCAATGCACATGTAATATCACAGAGGATGAAGATGATGATGGTGGTGGTGGTGGTGGTGGTGGTGGTGGTGGTGGTGGTGGTGGTGGTGGTGGTGGTGGTGGTGGTGGTGGTGGTGGTGGTGGTGGGTGGTGGTGGTGGTGGTGGTGGTGGTGGTGGGTGGTGGTGGTGGTGGCGGCGGCGGCGGCGGCGGTGGCGGTGGTGGCGGTGGTGGTGGTGGTGGCGGCGGCGGCTGTGGTGGTGGCGGTGGTGGTGATGTGGTGATAATGATAAAAGTGGTGGTGATGATGAGGATCATGATGATGATGATAATAGTTGTGGTGGTGATGATGACGATGATGTGTGGTGATGACGATGATGTGATGATGATCTTGATAGTGATGATTATTATGATGTGATGATCAGCCGGTGATGATAATGATAATAGTGATAGTGGTGGTGATGATGAAGATGATGACGATAGTGTTAATGATGATGATAATGATGATGATAATAGTGGTGGTGGTGAAGATGATGATGATGATGATGATAATCATGATATGATGATCATGATGAGGAGGATGATGATATTGACGATGATAATGATGATGGTGTCAATGGTATTGATGATGAGGAGGAGGATAATGATGGAAATGAATACAAGGATGATCAAAACAATAACATTACTCCTCTTCCACTTCTCATATATTTTTTTTTTCTCCATCACCAGATCCATATGTGAAGATCTCCCTCTACATGAACAACAAGAGGATGAAGAAAAAGAAGACCACCATTAAGAAGAGGACACTGAATCCTTACTACAACGAATCCTTTGGCTTTGAGGTGCCATTCGAACAGATTCAGGCAAGTACACCATCCCTTTGCTATCGGTCTGTGTACAGGGGGGGCGTTTCGTAAAGTTGTGCGTAAAGTTACGAATGACTTTACAAATGACTTGAATATGAGGAGCCGAATGGGATACCCAAAGTTTTTCCTTACATTTTAACACAGTGTGACTGTATTTTTTATGATCTCAATTAAATTGTAGCCCAAAATACACTTTGCATTAAACTGTTTTGTTAGTAATGTTGAGGTTAATCTATATCTGCATATTTCAACTTTAGCTTATATGCAATTAAAAAGATTTGAGAATCCCATTTAGCTCTTCATATTCTAAGTCATTCTTAAAGTCATGCGTAACTTTACGCACAGCTTTATGAAACACCCCCCTGGGGCATTGCTAGACCACTTTGAAATTTAGGGGGGGGGGGAGGGAGTGTTGGACCAAATTTACCTGCAAGGTAAATCAGATTTTTGTGTTTGCCAACAAGATAATGGGGTCACGGTCTTGTTTCTCAAAAAATAAAGTACAAGTTCCCCTACATTCGGTTACATGTGTGAAACAAGATTAAGATGCTTTAAATGACGTACTGGAAATGATGCCATGATTTCCAAAGATGCCGACAGATGTGTACATTTCCCCCACCCCCACCTTTAGCAACACTCCTGTCTGTGCATAGGTGACATGGTCTAGTAGTTATGTCCCCAATTATGGATCTTTAGGCACTAGACACAAATCCCTGCCACTGTACAAACATTCTTTGGCAAGGCCTTCATCTACATATAACTTTTGACCATTTTAGAAACAATTCATATCACGATTTTTGTTACTTATTACTCATATTTCATACAAGATTGTGTTTTCGCTGCTCCTTTTCCCCTTACAGAAAGTGACGTTGGTGGTGACTGTAGTGGACTATGATCGCATGGGCAGCAGCGAACCTATCGGGAAAGTAGTACTTGGATGCAATGCCACAGGGGCGGGACTCCGTCACTGGAGCGACATGCTGGCGTCGCCACGGCGACCAATCGCCCAATGGCATACACTCCAAGAACCCGAGGAAGGGAAATAAGTAGACAAAAAATTACAACAAAAGCTAATTAAAAATGATCAGTTAGAGTAAAGAATGATTTTATCTAAGTGATTCAAAATATTTAACGAGCCCTGTGAGAGGGATTTTGGATTTTATGATTAATCGTTAATTTTGGACACAAAGAGGACCATTACCAATGAATTTATACACACCTATGACATCTTATTCATATGACACACACCTGTGTGAATTGTGTACTGTTACAATTACTCTGAATCAATGGCGTTATGCCTCTGTAGGTATCAACAAAGGAGAGACATAAATCCACATCCATTCCGCATTGGTTCAGAAGTAACATCAAATTTGTGTGGCATTATCGAGGAGCAGTTATAATATCACAATCCAACGTGCTGATTTTGCCACCGTTCGGTCCATTCTCGGTATTGGTTCTCTTTGTTATTAAACCGCGTACCAGATCTGAAATGATCGTGCGTTTTCAGCGCGAGATTTTCGGAACTGGTCCGCCAGGGTTTCAAATCTAGTTTGAATGAAAATAAACTTATATAAAGCCTGTAAGGAAAGCCTAGCTGCCTACGCCATTGTATTTGCTCAAGTCGGAAATCTGTGAGATTTCAAAGCAATTCTTATTCTATGTTTTATCTGTTTGATGTTACTTTTTATTGAGCCCACCCTATTTAGATTCATTGAGGGGAGAGAGTGCAAATTCGAAATCCCCTTTTTGGGTTGGTATGGGAGGTGCTCAATTTTAGCATGCAGTTGATTTAGTAAATCTTTAGGCTGGTTTTCATCTGTGTATGCTTCAGAGCCGTTTACATATGGCAGAGTAGAAGCCTTATCTTATATTCTCCTTCTGTATGCACTCAGTCAAGCTTTGCTCTGCTTCTGTTGATAAAAGCTTTTTCAAACCAAAGCCACCTATAATGATGTAGACAAGATCGAAAGCTTGTGAGAAGAGGAATATCGCGATACCACCGCTCCAATTTCAGCAAAGAAAAGCCAGCCTAAAGATTTTTAACCTTTAATCAGTACCTCAGTTTCTGTTTTATGTTTTGATGTATTTATTTTGCTTGGTATTCATCATGCCGAAGCACAGCGGAGCTCGAAAGAATGCACTTTGCTTTGCTTCGGTTTGATTGATTTTATACAAAAAGAAAACAGAATAAATGGTGTGAAAATCGATGATCGCAGAGCCTGAGTCCAGCCAGCTTCTGCGATCTCTTTCATACCGGTGACCCTTACCCCACCCCGCCCTTCTCCTTACCCTTCCTTAAATGTGATAGCTGATTAGTGCCCCCTCCCCTTCACCCCTACCTCTTTTTCACCCATTAATCCTTTGTTTCGTTAGCGCGTTTTTAAGTTCAGTGGGGAACGGATAAATTCTTCAGTGTGTCTGCTGAACCGTGGATACCTGTGAGTGTGAACTAGTCTTTTGTCGAATAGGAACGCAACACAGAAAACAACCGGATCTCGCAGGGTTGGCATCTCTTTAACCACATCAACAGATGCATGGGGTTGCTCCTGTATTACTACAGGATAATATTCTATCCAATAAACTTCCATTTGTTTTCCATGAATTTTATGTGATGACAGTTGCTGCTATCTCCTATGATGATAGCATCTTAGCATTTCATTTGAACAAAAAACTGTTTTGATAAAAAAATGTATCAATTGACAGAATCATTCGCAATTCTGATTTATGATATTTTATAAAAATATCTATGCCACCAACAGTACAATTAAAGATGAAATACCAGTGCAATTCAATGATGATGGTGAGAGGACAATTCATTTTACTGGGATCCGGTTGTTTAGTAAACGTTCAGTCATCCTTTCTTCCTCCCCCACCTTCCCCGAGTTTTCTCGCTAAAACTCTTATCAAACAGTTTCTGCTACAACAACAGATAAAGATGAAATGACGCAAAGATCGTCAGGCTAAATGGACTTTCTATGTTAATGGGATGTTGGCGGTTTAATTACTAGATTGGAAGAATAAAAACATCAATGAATTATTTGTGCTGTCTCGGCATTCAACCACCACTTGTCCTAAAAGAAAAAACAGGCAAATCATGAACTTTTTGAAAATAGGTTTGGAAAACATATGACAGTTTTCAATGACCTTTTAGCAGAATACCATTACTTGGGGGGTCATGAAATGAAAATGGGATGGGTTCGTTTTATACTTGTAAACATCACAATCTTTGTTGTAGCAGAATCTTTAATAATTCAACGATATTTGCGCTCAATTACTCAATGAGGTACAATTGATTTTTTGGCAGCGTTTAAGGAGATTAATTTTTATCGTTTGCAAATTGAAAGATTGACATCAACTTCAAGCCTTCAACGTATCTCCAGTACCCCCCCCCCCCTCCCCCACCCCTGGAGATTGAGTTGAGGGCAGGTTGGTTTAAAACTGGTTTTGAGCATAGGCCAAGAGGAGTTGGAGAAAGAAAGAGGCTAAGAGGTATCATCTGTCCTTGGCTTATGCTGAAAAAAGTTTTTTTTAAGAAATTCATGAAATGAATAAGTTTTTCAAATACGTAATGGGAGAAGCTTGTATTAAAGCAGCTTAAAAAGCAGCTTTACAAACATTTTTTAAAAGTGGTTTTGCCCCACCCCTCTCATTTAAAACATTTGTAAGAGGCTTTAGAGGTGCAAGCTTGCCATATATATATATACTATTAATAATATGTGTGCTGGGACTGGGATGTTGACTTTCTATGTCGGCATAATTCGGTGTACCCATCAAGTTTTGCCCCGATGTTCTAACAGCTAAATTAAATAACCAATATATATTTGCTGGATCTAATAGTGTTTAATCTGCTCTTTTATTTGAAGATAAAAGATATATGAATGAAATTCACATGATGGTATTGTGAACTGAGAAGAAAAAAAAGAGAATTGTGCATATTTTGCCATGCCAAACTATATTTATTGTTAGGGAAAAAGTAAATACATGTAATTAACCAGTTCTGTCTCTTTTGTAAATACGTCTTTACCATGAAGTCTATCATATATATTTATTAACAATTTTTAATTAGTGAATGGCATATAATCGTATATCATTACCTACACTCATGTTACTCCAGACATAATGTGTATGGGTACTTACGCTAGGATTTAAATCATTTCGTCGTCATGAGTTGTATAGCATTTAGCAATGCAATATGATTTGTTTACTCTCGATTTCAAATGAAAGAGTACCGACTGATATGTACTTGTACGATGTATGTACGAATCCTAAGGCCGTGCTACTTATTAAGAGCCCTGTTTGCATTTCATGGTATAAAAATGCTATAGGGACAGATGTAGACTGCAATAAATAAGAAAAAAGTATGTATGGTTCTCGATCTAAATGAATTTGTGCTGTTGTGACGTGAATCAGAATCTTGCGCTTGCAAAATGGCATCCAGGCATCCAGCTAGACACAATGAAAATGGTACTTAAATAAAGTCAGAAATGTACATGTACTCGTTATATTTCTAAATAATGAAGGCATTGGGATATGGTTTTCATGTAAACTCCAGTTTAATTAACAAAATGGATAAAGTTCTGTGTGTTTTATAAGATTGAGATTATATCAGGAATGATACGTTAAAAAAATATCCCTGTTTTCTCTACACTGACCATTTTCTTTCAGGTGATGTATCATGAAATCTGTTCACTATAAATATCTACTTATGGTGATAATCTAACAGTCAAGCACAAATTCTGTATTTTTAATTACAATGTAAAAGATATTCACTTCAACACTGTCATATTATGGTAATATTTAAACAGTCAACTATTCAGCTTTAAGGTATTCAGGTTAGACTATTTATTTATTATTAATTAGAATGTGAAAGATTTTCACTTCAACACTGACATATGAAGGTAATATTCAAACATTCACGAGAAAATTATCCAGGGAAGACTAATTATTTAATGTATTCAAAATTATCTTATCTTTATCATACCAATCTTATTATTCTCATAGGGTATTACGTGTACAAACAAAACACGCTAGACAGGACATTTTTTAACATAGACACAACACGAACAATGTTTACATTTTATCAGCTGTATATTAAGTCTCTAATTTCCTAATCTTATTTACCTAATCTTTTTTTATTTGATTCAAATGACTTTGTTCCCCAGCTTTTGTTTATCTTTTCAACAAGAATTAAAAGTAGGGATGGATATTCAGAGAGAATTTACAGTTAATGTTAAATGATTGCAATGTTGCAATGTTAGAGCTTTGTTTGAAGCAAATAAGAAGTTACCAAAGGCTTTCATTTTGCAGTCTCACCTGCTTTTAAAAATAATTGCAGGAAGTTTATAGCAGACCAGAGCTGATGTGCTGGCAGTGATATTCATCTATTCAATGGTCCTATACTAACATTAACAAAAACACCTGGAATCGAGCCTGTGAAGAAATCCTCTTGTTTGACTGGAGAGTAATTTCTAGGTGAAAATGTCCCCCATGTGTTAGCAAATAATGTAGATATTGGATGAGTTTGTGTGTGGTTACCCAGTGTTATTTTGTGCAAATTTAGGAGGAGAAACTATTTGATCGATATAACAAACCATTTTAAGCTCATATTGTTTATCAAAGCAATATAATTTAGGCTCATGATTATGATATTCCAAGTCACTGCTTATAAATACATTCCTAATGTTAATTCATTCAAGTAGCAAAGCGGGGTTGCTTTATATTGTCCTTGTTCATTGTGGAAAGGGCATCGGGTGTTGATTTAAAAATGGGAAGAAAATGTAAGAAAGAAAACATACCAAAAAATAGTGTTTAATGGAAAATAATAAATAATAAGTAAAGAAAAATGGATGGTTGAGGAAAGTGTCAAATGCTTGAAATGTTCAAACATAGCATTATCTTTTGATACTGTACAAAATTGTCCATCAAACTGTGTCAGTTATGAATTTGTTCCCCCAGTATCTCTATTTGGATTGAGAAGAAAAAAACCATCTAGTTTTAAAGTGGTTAATTATTTCATGTTGTTGCACTAGCTAGCTGATGTTTGTTATCGAGATGTTATCGGTATGCGTTTGGAAAGTGAAATTTTGAGCGTTTAGGATGGTAGTATTACCCATGACATATTTAGAACATCCCCAGCCATTGGTATGAATCCCATGTATAGACATTGGTGTTGTGTTTTTTTAATGACTCTAAAGAATTTTTAGTGTAAGTAGAATAAGATAACATTATAAACAAGATACTTTGGTCTGAAATACGAAGGAATGCCATCTTTTGAGTAGGGAAATAGATTTGTGCTGCAGGAATTTCTAATCATTGGTAGCTCGATATTTCAGTTTCTTTTTGGGCCGTGAACTTAAAACTGGTCAGGATCAGCATTTTCTTTTTTTAAAGAAATATTAATATCTATGTTACTACAGATAACAAATGATGCTTTTTAGCCTTTGAAAATTAACAGGTTTCCAAAAGGGAAATACAGTCTTCTCGCAATCCAAACATCGACCAAAGTATCTTTTAAGGTTGCTTTAGATGTGCACAAGTTGAATACATATTCATACACCATAAACCTGTACAAATGGAGTCGATCATACTCTTTGTTCTACTTACATTCCAAATTTTATTTGTCATAGAAGCTTTTTCCTTCAGAAGCATACCTATTTGAAGAACAGAAGTATTCAGTTTTTATCTTTTGCTGAAAATAGGATACCTATTTCTTCAAATCTATCGGAAGGAAGGTTTTGTATAATTGCTACAAACCAGAAATATACAAGCTTGGATGCAGAGATACTATTTTCTTGCTTTGTTATGCTTTCATAGCTGCTTGGATTGAGCTTGCTTACGTGATAAATCCTTGATTGTTGCAGTTCCGAAGTAGTATCAAATTGGCAACCAAATGCAGCATTTACTTAATATTTTCAGGAAATCAAGCACAGTCTGTCGTATTCATTGATATGATTATTTATGTTTCTTTGAAGTTCTGTAGATGTGTAGTCATCGAGTTAAACCAAAGTGAAAAATATATCTTAACAGCTTATAATGTAATTGTTTCTGATTCTCTTTCCATCCATAATAGCTGTATAGAAAAGGAACAATAGCTAACATTCCTTATTTTTCAGAATCTAAATGGTGGCATTGTGAAATATTGTATCTATAGTACTACTTCTATATATTATATCATTCTTCATGTGTTCTCGAAGTTCATTGTGTATTATGAAAGAAAGGAACCAAATTTTATCAGAGAGGTGTTTGTAGAATGGTACATTTGTACAAACGGATTCTGTATTCGTTGTCTCCCCTCAGCTTTCATGTTCATAGGTGTACATTACTGGCTGTGTACATAGCCTCCCATAGGTTGAAAGAATAAATGTGTGCAATTGTCCTTGTATATGTCACAGTGAAAAAAATATAAATTGTGTCCCTGTGTATTTTTTATTCATGTACTGGTAAGACATATGCCAAGGAAGGCAAGTGAAGAGGAGGTGACAAAAAAGAGTTAGTGGTAAATTTCATTTGGAAGAGGTGATGAGAGAGAGAGAGAGAGAGAGAGAGAGAGAGAGAGAGAGAGGGAGAGAGAAAGAGAGAGGAGAGGAAGCAAGAAAGCGGAGACTGAAAAGAGAGGGCCAAGATGAAGGAGGGAGGGAGAGTGATATTAGAGAAAGCAAGAAAGGGGAAATGGAGAGAAGGGAGGGAGTGGGAGACCTAGATGTAGAGATGGAGACATATTAGAGAAAGCAAGAAAGAGTGAGAATGAAAAGAGAGGTCTTAGAGAAGGGTGAGGGGGAATAAATATAGAGATGGAGAAATAGGGAGAGAAATGGAGACATTAAAAAAAAAGACATTATAGAAGGCAAGAAAGGGGGGGGGGGTGATCTAAAGATGGATGTAGAGAGACAAAGAGAGATAGGATAGAAAGTAAGGGAGGGGAGAGACTGAAAAAGAGAGGATGGAGAGAGAGAGATTTGGGGGTGGAGGAGAGATGGATGTAGAGTGAGAAAGAGACGAGAGAAAGCAAGAAAGTGGGAGACTGAAAAGAGGAGTCTGAGAAAAGGGGGAGAGAGAGGAGGGAGGGGGGGGGGGTAGATGTAGAGATGAAGAAATAGAGAGAGAGAGATAGAGACATATTGGAAAAAGCAAGAAAGGGGGAGGATGAAAAGAGGAGTCTGAGAGGAGGGAGAGGGGGGGGGGGCGGGAGATAAAAGTAGAAATGGACAAATAGAGAGAGATAGAGACATTAGAGAAAGCAAGAAAGGGGAGGAGATCTAGAAACAGAGATAGAGATAGGATAAAAATTAAGGGAGGGGAGAGACTGAAAATAGATAGGAGGAGGGGGAGATAGAGAGAGAAAGAGATCACCAGGAGAATGAGATAGGCAGAGAGAGGTTGGGAGGAGCAGGGAAAAATAGGAATGAGGACTGGAAAGAAGGGGAAAAGGGGAGACAGAAAAAAAAATAAGAGCAATTCAGAGATCGATGAAAAGCCATTTTAATAATTAAGGGGAAAACGAGAGCTTTATAAAAATGGGTGAGATTTTAAGTGGATAGATATTTACATGTCGATATAATATAGACATGTATATCGACCCCCCCCCCAAAAAAAAGAAGAAAGATCGAAGAAGAAGCCATAGTGTGAAATGGATAATGATCAGAAGATCCTAAGTTTATATCAAAGGTTAAAGCCTAAACATTTTTAAAAGGTAACCTTTCATGCACTGCATGTGGGTGGGTAAGTCGATATGAGTCTCCGCCCCAGCCACTCTCCTTGCCCTCCCTCCCATTAAAAAGAGGTCTCAGCCACCAAATGATCTATATTTTGATTAAAATGTTGCTAACACTAGGTGGCGCTATATAAATTAAGGAGCACGAAATCGATGGTTATGCATATTGTTTCCTTCTACATTTGCTTATGTTCTTTCACGTTTAGATCTTCAACTATAGCATTTTTTAAAATATTTTAAAACCATGCTTTAGAATAAATCTTCCTAAATTATCCTTCACCCTATATTTCTCTCCCCTGTTTTCTTTACTACAAAATTTTATTTCCATTTTTTAAAACCCTTATCTTTGTCGGGAATGCGATGAAACGCTAGCTGGGCTTGCGCCTGGGGCCTCGAATAAAACAGAATTACGGAACAAAAACAAAATTAACGACTATTATAACAACAGAAGAAAAACTTGCCATTCAGCTAACTTATATTCAAGTTTATCTTTGTTAATCCATTCTTCAGTTCATCCCTGGCCCTCACAAGCATGTCAAGGTTAAGGCAACAATAACTAACTTTTAGATACATCAATTATGTATGCAAATCTGTTTATTGTGACGTAAGGGCGAGCCCTCCAGTTTCTAGCCAATCAGCGACGGGAACGACGTGATGTAACCAATGACCTCGATCAAGGGTTCGTGAAAATGAGGTCAAAGTGTAACTTGTGTGTAACGTGTAACACGTATGGTAAGGTTTTCACTAGCTCGCGCTCTATTTGTTCGCATGCAGTATACTATTGAAGCACTTGTTGTGATTTTGATCTCCAGTTCTGACGTGGTACCGTACTGCAGTTCTCTTTCCCATAAATCCTTCTCCATAGTAAATCAACATCTTTAAATATGGCCAGCAGAGACAAGGCATCTAGGCAGCTCGAGGATCATTGTACTGCCCAAAAGGTATTTATTTATTTGTATTTTTTGTCCTCACCAATTTATATTCTAACTCCGTCGATTTCTCTTGTTTTGGCTCTGCATGTCGCCTCTGGCTGCGGCGCGGCGGGGTGGGCAGCGCGCCAGGAATAGTCGCTGGATTGAAGCGGAATCAGAGCGGGGCCGGGCCGAGGCTAGACCTAAAGCTTCAGTCTCTGATATCGACGGTTGTTCCGCTGAGATTGCATCTGGCTCCTCTAGACCGCCTCTATACATGGGGAATGTCAACAAATGTCAGTTTTATTAAAGAAATGACCCATATCAGAGCGCGTTTATCTAGGCTTGCCACTAGATATGTACATATCGTACCCCACTATCAGTAGAGGCGCTGGTCCGAGAATAAGGAACGTCTTCATAAACGAGGATCGTCTTCGTAAACACGGACCGATGCGTCCTCAAAAATAAGGACCGTCTGCATTTTTGCAGACGTTTCATATTTTTGATCGGTGCATTGGCGATGCAAAAAACGGATTCTGCAATGATTTTCTTGATGCATTTTACATTGACATTGTACAGAGACTTTCACATTATAAGCAATAAATCCTTGGGAAGACGGACAACCCATAAAAGTAGACGGTGAACTAGGGTTTTTTTCCCCCGGGGAATCCATTTTTGGCATCGCCAGCAGGCCGTTCTGTAACATGAAACCCCCAGAGCGCCGATGAAAAAAAACGTCCTCAAAAATGCAGACAACCCTTATTTTTGAGGACGCATTTTGTCCTCGTTTATGAGGATATCCTTGTTTATGAGGACGATCCTCATTCTTGGACCAGCGCCCCTACTGACTATCGAACCCCACTATCATACCCCACTATACGATCGTGATTTGCGGGATGTCGCGTTTATCTACTCTTCACGATTCAAAATAAAGGCCTTGTGTCTGCCCAGCTGTTTTGACCCGGGAAGCAGACAGTTTCTCGGAGGTCAAATTCACACACATGCTTGTACACAACACCTGTGTGGTCCTATTTGTATGTGA